CTGAAGCTTAGCACTGTGACATGAAGAGGACTGAGCCACCGCCTAGACCAGGGCCGGACTTGCCATGGGCAGGGGAGGCAGGGGGAGGTCAGGCCCCACCAGTGGTACCTCCATCACATCCTTGATGACTGGGGTCCAGCGGGACAGCTGATAGGTGGGCTCCAAGCGCTCCCTCCGCTCTAGCCGGCTTGAGGTCCCAGAGCCCTACAGGCAGGGCACAGGGATGGGGGCGGGGAGGATGGGGGAGAAGGAGGTGGGTCATGGGTAGGACTGGGGACTCATCTGGCTTGGGGAGGGGCTGCAGAAAAAGATGGAGAAATGGAACAGAGAAGCAGAGAGAGAGGGAAGAAGGTGAGAGAAGGAGAGAGAGGGCTGGGGAGGGGGAGAGGGAGAAAGGGAAAGAGAGAGGGAGAGGGAGACAACAGGGAATGAGAAGGAAAAAGAGATTCAGAGCCCATGAGACTAAAACCTGTGGCAAAGAGAGACAACAGACAGGTGGAGACAGAGGCAGAAAGGCACGGAGAAACAGCGGAATGGGGAGGTGGGAGGCAGGGTGACAGGGGGCTGGGAGAGAGATGAGGGACAGGTGAGGGGACAGGAGAGCCACCCCAGCAGTGGAGGCAGGGTCAGGGGAGGTGGGACACACAGGGCCAGAGAGAGACAGGAGAGACTAAGCAGACAGCTGAGTACAAGAAGCTGCTGTGTGGGTGAGTTTGGGGTAGGGCTGTGCGGGGGGGCGGGGGCTGAGTCCTCCAGGAGCCCATGGTCGACTGTGTGCTGGTGACCCTACTCTCCGTCCCCTGGGACTCCGGCCACACACCCCACACCGCACCATCATCAGGACCACAGCTCTGGCTACACCTCACCCCTGTTTATCATGCAACCCATGACTGGGAACAGCTGCGGTGCCCGCTGGTCCCCAGACCTGACCTTTCACAGACCTCCCTGTCCCCCAGCGCCCCACCATGCTTTGAATGCCCCAGCCTCCCAGGCCCCAGGCTCTGACTCCCAGGCACCGCCCCCCATGCCCACATTTGCGCTCTGCCCAGTCTGACCCTAATGGCTTGCTGCCAGCATACCCCGAGGTTGGTGACCGTGCCCCCCCAGCTGCTCCAGGTTCCGGATGAGGCTGCTGTGTGCCTGCACGTTGGCGTGCTGGATCAGCTTGGCCAGGTTCTCCTCACTCACACCTGGAGGAGGAGGACGGGTGGGCTTCTAGGGATGGGACCCTCATGAGGGGGGCTGGCTCAGAGAGGGCAGGGAGACACAAGGTGGCCATGGGGTTCCTGGGTGAAGGGGTTTGAGGGTGGCGAGAGGAGGTCCCAAGACTGTGATGGGGGGTGGTCCTCAGGACCAAGGGAGCCACTGGGGCAGGTGCGAGGAGGATGCTAGAATTCTGGATGGGGATCCCAGAGGGGAGAGATGGGGGTCCGAAATTAGTTGACAGGGCCAAGTTTGGAGGAGTCAGGTTTGGGGGTCGCTATGTCAACGGAGACCTCATGTCAGTGAGAGTTCCCCAGATCAATGGCGGGGGTTCCCAGGTTTGAGGTGGGTGTATCTGTCGGGTCTGGTGTGCCTGTTGAATGGGGGCATCCCAAGGTCGGGAAAACTGTGGGGTTGAGAGATTCCCAGGACCACTGCAGACCCCTGTGAATGGAGGTCTCCGGAGGTCTTCCCAGGCCCCCAACCCACCGTTCCGTAGAAGGATGTACAGCAACAGGACCCGAATCTTGTCATAGGCCGGCACCGCCGTATCCAGCAGCACCGGCACGATCAGCTTCATGGCATCCTTGATCTTCTCACCTTCTGCGTCTGAGCCCATGGCCAGGTCCTGCGGGGCAGGGGTCGGTGGGCTTCCAGAGCTAGGCCACCCCCAGAGTCCTTGGCAGGACCTTGGGGACGGCCTTCTTCCTACTACCAGGTCTCTGAAGGTTTTATAAACAGGCCCGCCCCTCTCAAGACCCCCCCCCCACCTCTCCACAGGCCCCACCCCTTATCCGGGTCCTACCCCCCTCTATGGACCCGCCCACCCCATAGACCGCTACATCACAGTCCCTATCACAGTTCTCCAGAAGCCCCGCCCCCTCACGGGCCACACCTCTCCAAGGCTCTTCCCCTGAAGACCCGCCCCCTCTACAGGCAGGTCTCTCTGAGGCCCCACCCCCGACCCAGGCCCGCCCCCACCTGCTCCACACCGCACAGCTTCTCCACGGAACCCTTGAAGTGTTTCATGCAGTCGTCGGCTAAATGCAGGTGCGTGGAATACTGCGGGGTGGGAGGAGGAAGTTGGGGGGTGACAGAAACAAGAGTCCCAGTCCCCCACCCAGGTTCCCCACCCAGGCTCACCTTGTTCAGCTCCTTCTGGTACTGCGGCATCTTTTTCAGGATGTGGGACAGGTTTTTGATGTTGGCCTGGGGATAGGGAGGCCGTGAGGCCTGGCCCTGCGCACCCCGGATCCCACTCCGGGCTCGGCCACGGGACTGGGGCCCCGCCCCCACTCGATGGCGGCACAGGCCTCTCTGCCCCAGCTGCCCATCCAGACGCGAGCCCTCCCCTACCTTGTCCGTGGTCAGCCTCTTGCTCTCACAGAACGTCTTCAGAAGCTCCGTGACCCTCCTGGTGGTGAAGAGTGAGCAGGGGTGGGGTTGGGGACTGGCGCCAAGGCTGTAGTTTGACAGCAGTGTGTGCGGGTGATGTGGGGTGTCACACAGCCGGGACGCGGGAGCCAGGGGACACATGTGTCCCTGTACTAGGCCATGGGCAAGGCCACACTGAGGAGTCGGCTGAGGGGCGTGGCTTGCACTGGAGCGCTCACCCAGGGTCAAAGACCACGCACGTGGCCCACAGTGGGGGGTGGGGGAGGGGAGGCGACTGGGGACACGGAGCGGCCCACGCACTTGGACACGTCGGCGATGTGCATGTGCCGCAGCTCCACCCACAGGTCATCGTCCTCGTCCAGCAGCACAGCCTTCTCGCGGGCCTCGCTCAGCCCCGTGGTCTCGTACCTGCGGGACACGGAGGGTCAGGGCAAGCAGCTGAGGAGGGACGCGGGAGCTGATGCACCCGGGGTTCGTGTGCCTGGGCTCTGCGTACTTGTACGTGTCCTGTTCGATGTTCAGCAGGTCATAGGCCATCGCCTGGAAGGTGAGCTCATGCAGCAGTGGGGACACGGGGTCCGCCCCCCGGTCCATGATGAGTAGCTGTGAGCGGGTTTTTTCAGGGCCCTGGCGGGGGTGGGCAGGGATGAAGATCCTGACCCTGTCCTTCCTCGGTCTCGGCTTCACCCCCTCCTCCCCTGCAGGCCCCCTTACCTCACCCAGACTGGGATTGTCTGCCTTGAAGGCATTCAGCTTGGCCAGGACTGCGTGGGCCAGCTGCGCTGTGACCTCTGGGCCCCTGGGGGTGGGGTGGGCAGACATGAGGGCCTCAGGCTTGGGGCAGAAGAGGGCCAGGCCCACACGGGAGGTCAAGGAAGGGGTTAGGGTTGGGAGTCGGGCCCCAGGCGAAGACCAGGACTGGGGTCAAAAGTGAGGTTCAAGGCTGCAGGCAGGATGGGGTCAGGGTGGGGGCGGCCTCGGGGGGGGGGTCCCCACTTGCGGTAGCGGATGGCCGGGTACTCCTGCAGCGTGGCGCACAGTGTGGCGATCTGCTGGGCCAGTGCCTCGATCTGCCGGGCCCGCTCCCCCACCCGGAAGGGGCAGTAGAGGTTGTAGGTGCTGTGGGGGGCATCCAGGGAGAACACCTGGGGGGACATAAGTGCTGGGGCCACCGCTCTGGGTGTACCCCTGGCCCGCAAACGGCCTCCAGCACCTGCAGCTCCCCAGGGTTTCCCCTGGGCTCTGGAACCTGCCTCGCCATCCAGGAGGCAGGCCGGGCTGCTTTCAACTGATGCCCGCAGGAGGCGGAGAAACAGCCCGGGCCCCTGCCCCTTGGTGGGAAGAACTCAGGCCCCTCAGTGTTGGCTGCTTTCCTTTCTGACCCGAAGGCCCCCTTCTTTACTGGATTCAGTGTCTTTCGGAGGGAACCCAGGCTGTTTGGTCACCGGCTCCCACCCCCCACCCTGGACCAGCCTCGGCCGTACCTGGGCCTCGTAGGGGAGGAAGGCCAGGTGGATCTCTTTCAGCGTCTTCACCACCTTGGCTAGACGGGAGCGGCCCAGCTCACTGAAAAGGGGCTCAGGGCAGGCTGGGGTGGCAAGAGAGGGCATCAGGCTAGAGTGGCCCCACGCCCCCACCCTGCCCCATGCCCCCTGCCTGTTTCACTCACTGTCAGTGAAGAAGATGTGTGCTGCTTTGTAGGTGAAGGTCGGAGTCCCCCGGAAGTCAGCGATCAGGGCCTGCACTGACTGGGGGGCGGAGGGGGGCACAGACCATTGTCCAAGCCTGGTCCTGCCCCTCCAGAGCCCTGCCCCAGCCTCCCAGCCACAACTGTCCTCCCCTCCCCACAACATGCGCAGACATGCACAGAGGCATGCGTATACACACACACACACACACACACACACACACGTTCACACCGGCACCTTCTCCGTGGGGCTCAGCAAATAAATGGCCTCCAAACTAGGGATGGGTTCTCGCCGTTTGTTGATATCTTCAACAACTAGCAGGAACGGAGAAAGGGCCGTATGTAGGTGGCACTGGGACCAGGGCTCATGGAGAATCTCAGACTTGGAGAATCGGACACTTGGGCAAGAGGGCTGGATGCCAGGGCAGGGGGAGTGGGCGCCCTCAGCGCCTAAGGGGAGGTACCCGCCTGTGGGTCACATGGCTAAGGGTTACATGGCAGGGTTCAGCACGTTCAAGGTCACAGCCGTGCCCCTCTAGGGATCCTCCATAGAAAGTGACACATTCTGGGCATTAGGGGACCGACCCCATGCTCAGTCCCATCTGGGCAGCATAGGGTGGGGGTGTCCACTCACTTGTAATGCCCTCAGCCAGGATGTCTGACATCTTGCAGCAGGAGGACAAGATGCGCATGCTTGGATGGTCCATGATGAGTACCTGTCCGGATGGATGGACAGAAGGACTGATGGACTGAGGAGTGGGCAGGAGAGGTTCCAGCTGCCCCCGAGGTAGGGCTGGGGTGGCGGGCAGAACTGACAGCTTCAAGAACTGGCTGGATGGGAGGACCCGACCGCAGCCTGCCCCACACCCACACACCCACCCCAAACCTCTGGACTAGCGGCCTCCCCAGGGAGTACTTATGGGTCCCACATTCAGGGCCTCCCACATGGGTCTGGACAAGGCATTCTGCCAACCCCATACCTTCCACTCCCCATCCTTTTTGACACTCCGAATGACCCCGCTCAGAATTTCTGTGGGAAAGGTAGAGCGGGCTCAGGATACTGGATTCGCTGGCCCCAACACAGCCCCAAGCCTTCTGAGTCTCAGGGCTGGGCCTCCATCTTCAGTCCTGTTTACTTCTCTCATCAGTCTTGGGAGGTCACCCCTAGGGTCACCCCCAATTTACAGACAGGGAAACAGGTTCAGAGGACGGGTGACCAGCCTAAGCACCCTCAGCCCTAAATGGCTAAGTCCCTGGGTTTAAGTAGTCAATAACAAATATGCATTAGATGAACGAGTAACTGAAAAGTTAGAGTTCACGTACAGGTCTACCTCCCTCCAGAGCCCAGCTCTCAGCCTCGCCATCGCAACCTTGAGTTCTCCTGGTGGGGGCCTCGAAGCCAGATCCCCCTCCCAACCTCCATCAGTTTCCTTGCAGGACCCCTGACTCCCTGCTCTGAAGAGGCCTAGCTTCTCCGCATTAACCTCCGTGTAGGAGGCTCCGCTTTGGGCTGGGGTGCTAGGGGTTTGAGCCATAGTCTGCCCTGCCTTGCGGAGGGAGAAGCAGAAGGGACAGGGTAGCCCCGCCCGCCCAGAGTGTCATGTCCACTCTTATCAGGACAGCCAGGGCGGAAGGAGCAGGAAGGAGGTGCTGAGGCCGGAACTACTTGAGATGGGGGAAGGGGCGACCTCCACCCCTCTCCCAAGATCCCCGACCCACGGCGGAGACGCCCGAGTCCTCACGCTGCATGAGGTTCGTGGGGACCCGGCAAGAAGGAAGGTGTCCCCCACCCCCCGGGCCTGGACATTGGCCTGACCACAACCCCCAGCGCACCCAGCCCGGGCCCCAGTCCAAGAGTCCAGCCCCCCCGGACTCTGCCAGGCTCGAAGACCCGGCAGTCGGGTGTCCAGCTGCGCCCTCTCCCCGCCGGCAGCCTAGGGGGTCCAGGACTGCAAGCCTTGGCGCCTGCCTACGCCACCCCTAGCCCGATCCCCCTGGGTCCCGGGAGGCCAGTCTCCCAACTTTGTTTAGCTCCGGCACGGAAGAGCCGGGACGTCCAGCAGGACCGAGTCCCCGCCCGCCCCCTCGAGGATCAGGTGCTCAACGCCCAGCCGGGCCGCCAAATCCCCGCCGCCGGCGTCCCAGGGTTCGTGCACCCCCGGCCCCCGCCCCCCAGGAGACGCACTCACTTTCCCCCACCACCGCCTTCAGCCCCGAGGGCGCCATCTTCCCCCAGGGGCGCCGCCGCTTCCGGGTCTGTCCCAAGGTGGGGGCGTGGCCCCGCGCGTCAGCCACCTGGACCCCGCCCCGCGGAGCTGGCCCCTCCCCCACCGGTCCTCGGAGAGGAAGATCTGCCCCCCGCAGAGTGGGCGGGCGGATGTGTCCACGCAGACGAGTGAGGAGTCGCTGGAGGGGTCCCCAGACGACACACGCAGACGTGAGCTCAGACACATCTTCCCTGCTTGCGTGCAGCGAGCAAGTGGGATCGCGGGGAAACAACGCTTTAATCTTTCCCAGTCGCGGCTGCCACACTGCCAGAAGTTTCTCTGCGGCTGACGGATGCTGTGTGCCCGTCCGGGGCCGCAGGGCCATAAGCTCGTGACCCACTTACCTTCTGTTCCCCAGAGCGTAGCCGCGGGCTGGACAGCATGTGATCAACTCACGAGAAAACCTGGAGGGAGGGTTGAAGCTAAACCGGCACCCACTGTGTGCCACAGACCTGTGCCAGATTCTCACTCCATCCCCGGAGAAGCCCTGACAGGGAGTGCGGTATAGACAATGAAACCGCGGCTCAGCGGGACCCTTGTCAAGGCCACACGATGAATAGGCCTGCTGGGATCTGAACGTGGACTCTGTCGGAGGGGAGCCGCTTGTCATAGCCTTGCCCTCACGGGCTGATAATCACATCTCTCTGCTGATGAACCCGTGGGCTCAGCGGCATGCTCAACCCCTTGCACACTTACACACACACTCAATTCACACTTGACTCTAAAGTTCATGGCCTGCTCCTGCTGTGCCCCAGCAAGTGGCCGCCACCTTGCCACACAGAGGGCACAGGCCAGCAGCACCCATCCACAAGAGGTCCCGTATCTCGGGTGTGATGCACGGGTGTGAATGCAGAGTCCAGAACCGGTTCCTTCATTTGGCCATGTTTGTTAAGAATTGGTCTGGATGGGGCACCTGCATGACTCCGTCGGTTAAGCAGTCTGCCTTTGGCTCAGGTTATAATCCCAGGGTCCTGGGTTGGAGCCCCATGTCAGGCTCTCTGCTTAGCAGGGAGTCTGCTGCTCCCTCTGCCCTTCCCCCTGTTCATGCTCTTTTGCTCTCAAATAAATAAATAAATCTTAAAGGGAAAAAAAAAGGTAATGAGTCTGGTGCTTGGCCCTTTGCCACTTACATGGGACGGGCAATTCACTAATTCAATTAGTGAATAAAAACTAGATCTGCCATGTGGCACTTAAGGTGAAGCGGAAGGGGGAGAGAAAATGGTCAGTTCTGCTCTAACGGAAATAGTGATGTGAGAGCACATGCCAGGTGGGGGGGCGGTTTATTGTGTGTGGTACCAGAGGGGGACACTCACAGGGTGACGTGTAGATTTAACCTGAACGACGTCAAGGAGCCATGCAGCGATGCAGGCAGAGAGAAGGGGATGTGGCTGGAGGAGCAGGGGGGAGTGAGGTGAGCTTGGAGGCCAGACCTCTGTGGGACAAGGGAGGACTGACCCAGCCCAATTTGCCTGGGACTGAGAAGTTTCCAGGGCACAGGACTTCCAGAGCTAAACTGAGAAAGTCTTGGGCAAACCAGGATTGCTGGCCACTCTAGGTAGGATTTGGGGTTTTCTTCCATGTTTTCCTACCTCCCTCCATTCCTTTCTTGTTTTTTCTTTCTTCTTCTTTTTTTTTTTTTAAGATTTTATTCATTTATTTGACAGAGAGAGAGCGGTCACAATGAGGCAGAGGAGCAGGCAGAGAGAGAAGGTGGGGAAGCAGGCTCCCTGCTGAGCAGAAAGCCCATTTACAGGGCTCAATCCCAGGCCCCTGGTATCATGATCTGAGCCAAAGGCAGAGGCTTTAACCCACTGAGACATCCAGGCGCCCATAAAAAAAAATTTTATTTATTTGACAGAGATCACAAGTAGGCAGAGAGGTCGGGGGTGGGGGAAGCAGGCTCCCTGCCTGAGACCATGACCTGAGCGGAAGGCAGAAGCTAAACCCACTGAGCCACCCAGGCGCCTCGTTTTTTCTTTCTTTCATAGCTTTGTTGAGATATAATTCACATAGCACACAGTCACTCTGAGAGTACAATTCAATGCCTTTTAGCATGTTCAGAGTTGTGCGTCCCAATTTTAGAACGTTCCATTACTCCGTGGCGTTTTCTCCTGAGGGCAATGGGAGCCAAGGGAGAGTTCTGAGCAGGGGAAGGAGGGCATCCCTGCGACTCCTGGAGGGGAAGGGTGGATTGCAGGGGCAAAGGGAGGAGCTGGGAGGCCGTGACACCCCCTCCAGCTTCTCAGTCTGTCCCCTGGGGGTGGAAGTCTAGAGGGTCTACCACCCCCCACTGTATTCTGTGAGGGTGACCAGGGTCTTCTGCAGTTAATGGCTGAATGGTATCCTGTCCATCCTCCCCCAAGACAGGTTGAAGGCCCAAGCTCGGTACCTGAGATTGTGACCTTATTTGGAAAAGAATCGTGGCATGAACCTCTAACAGAACGCGACTGGTTTCCATGTCTTGTGACAGCCATGTGGAGACAGGGACACAGAGGAATGTCACATGACGACAGAGCCAGAGGCTGAAATACTGCAGCGACCAGCCAAGGAGCACCGAGGGCTGCCTGCAACCCTGAGGAGCCAGGGAGAGGAAAGGAATGACCCTCCCCTACGGGTCTCAGGAGCATGGTACCGCCAACGCCCCAACTTCTGGCTCCAGCCTCCAGAACTGTGCGACAATCATCTGTTGCTCTAAGCCCCCCAGTTTGTGACTTTGTTAAGGCAGCAGTAAACTAGTACATCTGCGGAAGAGCAGGGCATCCTGTTGACATCGAGGACTCGGGGCTGCCGACAGGGTGCAGGCGGGGCCCCGGATGGGGAACTGTTGCCTGGGGAAGAGGACCGAGCTTCACGCTTAGGCAGGTGTGGTGACAGTGCGGCCCATTTACTCTGAGGAGAGGTTTTAACTGGTTTCTAGAAAGGCATCTTGGGTAGGGCATGGGGTGCCAGTGGGTTCCTCCCAGTGGCACCCTCTCCCAGGCCACTGAAAGGAGGCCATAGGTGCTTGGGGGAGGGGGCAGGGACTCTCCTCCTTGCCTGCCATCCCCAGGTACTGAGATGACAGGTCTCAGGAGAAAGCTCAACCTGGCATTGGTGGCAGGACAGGAAATCCCAGACCTTTTTGGGACACCTGGGTGGCTCAGCTGGTTAAGTGTCTGCCTTCAGCTCAAGTCATGATCCCAGGGTCCTGGGATTGAGCCCCACATTGGGCTCCCTGCTCAGTCTGCTTCTCCTTCTGCCCCTACTCCCCCTGCCCCCAGCTTATGCTCTCTCTTGCTCTCTAAAATAAATAAAACCTTTAAAAAGGCGGGGGGGGGGGGGCGCGGTGGGGAAATCCCAGACCTTCTGGTATTAGGGCCGGTGGTGGGCAACCAGACCCAGGGACTGGGAGGAGTGGCCGGGAGACTGAGAGGAGCTACTCAGCCTGGTGGTGCCTCAGTGGTCCTCAAGTCCACCTCCTTCCCCTACCACCTGCAGCTGGCAACAGCCCTACCAGCAGGGTGAGCCCATCTCACTCTGCTTCCCACTAGAGGGCTACAGACCCGGCCTGAGCTGCCCTGGTGGCCTGACCTCTCCCGGCTGGGCCAACCAGCCCCTGCGCCCCATCGTGGGGGGACACTACTCTGGCCTGCTACTGAGCCCCACTGAGAGTTCTTGGGGCCCAATGAGTCCTGCTGGACAAGGTCCCAAACCCAGGTCACCCTGTCTCCTACCCCCACAGCAGCACTGTGTCCTGCTGCAAAAAACAATTATCTGGATCATCTTTATGGGGCTTAAGCTTGGGTGGGAGCAGATGGGGCATGAGCTGGGGATTTGGGGCTGGGTATCCACTCCCCCCCTCCACATCCCAGTCTTTTAAAAAGCCTTCTCTGGCACAGGGCCGGGACAGAGGTTAGCAGAGAAGTGGACGGGACCCAGGGGAGGGGAGCGGGGACGATGATGGACCAGGAAGAGAAGGTGGACGGGACCTCGGCTCCCTGTGTCAAGGTAAGCAGATCCCACCCCACACATCCCTAACTCAAGGGCCTGTGAATGACAAGACTAATTGGTTTGTAGGGCACCTAATTAGCAAGCAAGTCTCCTGGGACCCCTGACCCAGTTGCTGCCCAAGGAAGTGCTGGTGGGCCTGGGGGTCCAAGGGCCTAGCCCAGCCCCAGGGCAGAGGTCAGGGCTCTTAGTGTTAACCCCTGGGAGGTGGGGGATGCTGGGATTCGGGAGCAGCCCTTGGTATGTTTCCCTGGGTCACATCCCAGCCCCCAGGCCACCCTGCAGTCAGGCCCCAATTTAGGACGTCAGGATGCTGGCACCGGTAGCCTCTCCCTGGAGGCAGCACCACGTGGAGTGGCCCCGCTGGCGGGACCCCTGGGGTGGGGGCCGGGATTGGGAAGGAGGCTCAGGTCTCATTCTGAGCGGCTCTGCAGAACAGCACATCGGCAGGGACCATGGTGAGCGCCGAGGAGGGGAGGGGAGGGGAGGGGTTCCCCCGCTGAGAGGCCAGCTAGACTGAGTGTGTCTGTCCCCCAGGCTGGCTCTCCAGACCAGGAAGGCTTCTTCAACCTGCTGAGCCACGTACAGGGCGACCGGATGGAGGAGCAGCGGTGCTTGCTGCAGGCAGGGCCGGGTCCGACTTCTGAGAGCCGTGAGCACGGGCACAGGGGCAGGGGGTAGGGTGGGACTGGTGTGATGTTTGGGGGCATGAACGGGGCAGGGCATAGGGATCCAGGGAGAGTGGCCATCTGGAGGGCCTGTGGGCAAGAGTCTGAGAAAGCAAGCTGCAAATGGGAACACTGGGCAAGGGATGGGAGGGAGAGGCCAGCGCGCTTCCTAGAGAATGAGTGGGGGCGGAGGAGCGGGTTGGGGGCTCCGGCTGTGTCCCCTGGAGTCAGCGTATACACATTCATCCCCGCACGCCTCTGCTTAACGCAGAGAGTGGCCCTGCACCCGAGATGGACAGTCTCATGGACATGCTGGCCAGCACCCAGGGCCGCCGTATGGATGACCAGCGTGTGACAGTCAGCAGCCTGCCTGGCTTCCAGCCCATAGGCCCCAAGGTAGGTGACATGCCGCTGGAGCTGAGCAGAGACCTGCTAGGCTGAGCGCTCTGACCCTGCCTCCCACCCCCAGCCAGGAGTAAATGGAGCCTTCCTCACTCTCATGTCTAGCCCCGATGTGCCCCTTAGGTGTAAGTGCCTAGTAAAAGTGCCACCCTGGGTCCATGCCAGGCACAGGATCCTGGCCAATTGGATACCCAACTTTGGGTGGGACGACAAAGGCCCAGACAGGGCCGAGAGGGGCCCAAGGTCGGGCCGGGGGCATGTGACTGTCAGAGCCGTGGCTGGAACTCACGGCCCCTGCCTGTCTCAGGGTTTCAGGGAAGAAAGAATGAGCAGACCCCCTTCCTGGGAAGACACCTCCGAGGAAGAGGGCATCTGAGTTTATACATGGGACCCACACCTCCATACACTAGTGTGTGTCTATGACACACATATGCACATGTATCCCGGGTTCTGATCAAGACCCCAAATACCGCCCTAAAGGTGGTAACTCAGGAGGTAACTAAAGGAGTAACTCATGTACGTAGAAGCCGGGGGATGGCAACCCGGTGAACGGCAGGAGGTGGCACACAGGCACTGTCTCCCAATGTCTGGGTCAGCTTCGGCTGGCACTGCCCGTGATCCCTCCCTCTGGCTGACCCCTCTTCATCCACAGGACGGAGTGCAGAAACGAGCCGGGACGCTCAGCCCCCAACCTCTCCTCACCCCTCAAGACCCGACTGCTCTCAGCTTCCGTCGGAACAGCAGCCCCCAACCCCAGACACAAGCCCCATGAAGGCCTGAGCCATCCTGGGCCCTGCTTGGCCCCTGAAAACAGACAATAAAACACTTCCACAAGAAACAAGAAACCGTGTATGTGTATTTTCTTGGATGGACGGGCTAGGATTCAGGACCTCTGCTGGGCAGCACGAAGGAGCTTCTCCTCCCGCTGCTTCCGTATCTTCTCTTTGAATTCTTCTAGCTCCTGGCGCTGGGGGGTGGAAAGGGGGGGTGGAATGGGAGAGGAGGAGGACACACACCTCAGGGGCCTGGACCCCCTTCCCTTCACCCCCTTACTCCCCCAGGCCACAGCCTCAGAGTTCAGCGTCTATGCTGGAAGCCCTGCACCAATTACAGCGAGGGTCCAAGTGGGATTAGCTTCACCTTTCAGGAAAAGGGCAAGAAAGAAACTATACACCCCTCTGCTCTCAGTTCTCTTTCCTCAGGACTGAGAGCAAAATCTTCATTCAAACCCATCACGGCCACAGGGATCCAGGCACCTCTGTCCCTTTAGGGGAAAGAAGAGTATGTTACTTACCTGGTCTTCCCTCTCAGGTGGCCACAGCTCCCTCTGTGGGGACAAAATAGCAGCTGGAAGCATGAGCCAGGAGCCTCCGGAGCCCCCCGCCCAGGGCAGGGTTGGCTGGTGGGAGGCAGACACTGGTCCCCACCAGGTTGGTGCCCCATTCTCTCCCCCAGCCCTGGCACGAACCCATGAATACTCTCCCTGTGCCCACCTTACGCTGTATGACATACTCTTCAAACCATTCGGCCTGATTGGCGATCCAGAACATAGCCACAGGGAAGGTGAGGTAGAGTGTCATCTGGAAGGGCAGGAGGTGAATGAACAGAGCCAGGGATTAAAGCTCTTCCACAACACGCACAGGTTGCTCAGAGACTGGAGGACCATCCTCCCACGGAGACCGGAGTGCGTCCTCAGGGTCCCTAAGAACCGCAGAACTCCCACCACGGGCACAGAAGCCTCACACCTTAGAGCCTAGACCTCTAGTAATAATAATTTAGGAGACCTCAAAGCCTCCTCCAAGTTTGGGTAAACGCCCCCTCAAAGACACACACACACACACACACACGTACGTACACACGCGAGCGCGGAAAGACCCCTGACTCAGAGTACAAAATCCCGTACTAAATCAAAGGCATCTTCGTGAGACCTCATTACCCACCCGTCCGTTAGATCCCTGGAGCATCTTCAGACCCTGGAATCCTCATTACCTGCAATCGATTCCCCTAAACACAGGGGTCTATCAGAAACGCACAACCACCCGGAGCCCATGAGCTTCCGCAGGGTCTGGAGCCTTCCTTCCTGGAGCCCTTTTCCCACATCACTCCTCTCGGACGCCCCGCCGCCCACCAGCCCCCCCCCCCTCCGCTGCGCTTCCAAACTTAAAGATCCCTCTCAAAACTCAGAAGCTCTCTCCCCACATTGCCCTCTTTCCTGGAGTCCCCTCCCCTCCAAAGCCTCCTCCTCAGTGCCCGGGGGAGTCCAACTGTCCACCCGCTGCAAAGCTCACTGACCCGAAACACCTCCAGCTTCACCCCCATCTCGCTTCTCCTAGGCTACAAAGCCGCTTCCGCCCAAAGTCAACCCTCCAGCAAAACTTCAGCTCATTGGGCCTTCGTTGCTTCCATTACTGAAGCTGATTGGTAGACGAGTTTCGTGATGACGTCATATTCGGGCGTCTCTACTCTGCTTCCGGTCGCCGGCGCCTTCTAAGCGAAAGTCAACAAACGCGGTCCGTGGGGTCGGTAAAGGTTCAACCAATAGGAAATAGGTCTGGCCCCGGGGAGCGGGCCGTCCGCAGGAGGCGTCATTATAACGCGACTCCTGCCCGTAGCTGGAGAGCCAGGAAGATGGTGGTGATGGCGCGTCTTTCCCGGTCCGAGCGGCCGGACCTCGTTTTCGTGAGTCCGCGGCGGGGCCGGGGGTGGCCCGTGTGAGAGCAGAGGGCTTGAATGCTTCAGAGGTTCGGGGTCTGGCGGCCGGGGGTGTCGGCCAAATTCTGTCCACGCGAGAGCAGGGCGTGCGGGCCGGGCTGCCAGGAGCCAAGTTCTGGTGCCGGAGTCCAGGTGGTCTGAGTGAAGAGCTGCTGTCGAAGTTCAGGGCCAGGGGACCCGGGCCTCCGGTGGAAATGGGAGCGCGCCGGGAGAGGGGTGGGTCGCAGAGCGAAATCTTATAGAGATCTTGGTGTCTGGAGTAGAGGATAGTGACCCAAAGCCAGGGCTCTGGTTTCTGTGGTAAAGTTTTGGTGTCCTGAGTAACGGCCTGGGTCTGGCCCTGAGCCTTGTAGTTTCTGGAATAAAGGATTGGTGTCTGGATTCCGAGATCTGGAGTCAGATGTGGAGCTGGTCAGGCGATGGCCAGTGGGATCCTTAAGAGTCCAAGACTTGGTATCTGGGGCACTGACACATGTCCTTTGACTGTGCTTCACAGTTATTGCAGGAGATCTTTGTTTTCTTTCTTCTTTCTCTCTCTCTCTTTTTCTTTTTTGCTTTTTGGAAGGCTTGCATTTTCTAACTTCTTGTCTCTGTGTCACGTTTTGGTAATTCTCACAGTATTTCAAACTTTTCCATTAGTTTCGTTTTGGGGAACCAGGAGCCACACCAAATAAAAGGGAAAGTTAATAAATGTAGGTGTTCTGACAGCTTCATGGGCTGTTGCCTGTCTCTGTCCCTACTCCCTGAGATGTGACAATATTGAAATTAGACCAGTTAATAACCTTACAGCAGCTTCTCAGTGTTCCAGTGAAGGGAAGAGTCACGTCTCTCACTTGAAGTCAGAAGCTAGAAATGATTAAGGTTGATGAGGAAGGCATGTTGGAAGCTGAGATAGGCTGAAAGCAGGGCCTCTTGCACCGACCGAACAGCCAAGTGGGGAATGCAAAGGAAAAGTTCTTGAAGAAAATTAGAAGTGCTGCTCCAGTAAACACATGAATGATAAAAAGGTGAAACAGCCTTATTGCTGTTACAGAGAAAGTTTTAGTGGTCTGGGTAGAAGATCAAACCAGGCACAACACCCCCTTAATCCAAAATCTGATTCAGAGCAAAGCCTAACTCTTTGGTTCTACAAAGGCTGAGGGAGGTGAGGGAGCTCCAGGAGACAAGTTTGAAGCTAACAGAGGTTGGTTCATGAGGTTTAAGGAAAGAAGCCATCTCCGTAACAGAAGTGCGAAGTGAAGCAGGGAATGCCAATGTAGGATCTGTAGCAAGTTAATCAGAAGATCTAGGGGAGGGGCGCCTGGGTGGCTCAGTGGGTTACGCCTCTGCCTTCAGCTCAGGTCGTGATCCCAGGGTCCTGGGATGGAGCCCCAAATCAGGCTGTCTGCTTCGCAGGGAGCCCACTTCCCCCTCTCTCTGACCCTCTCTCTGCCCGTCTCTCTGCCTACTTGTAATCTCTCTGTATCTGTCAAATAAATAAATAAAATCTTTTTTAAAAAAGGAATTAAAAAAAAAGAAGAAGAAGAAGATCTAGGGGCACCTGTGTGGCTCAGTTGGTTAAGCGTCTGCCTTAGGTTCAGCTCATGATCCCAGGGTCCTGGGATTGAGCCCCACATCAGGCTCCATGCTCAGTGAAGAGTCTGCTTCTCCCTCTCCCTCCCCCTGCTCTTGCTCTTTCTCTCTCTCTCTTTCTCTCACTGTCTCTCAAATAAATCAAATCTTTAAAAAAAAAAAAAAAAGAAGAAGATCTAGTTGAGGGGCGCCTGGGTGGCTCAGTTGGTTTAAGTGTCGGTCTTCAGCTCGGGTCATGATCCCTGGGTTCTGGGATCAAGCCCCGTGCCCAGCTTCCTGCTCCGCGGAGAGCCTCCTTCTCCTCCCTCTGCTGCTGCCCCTGCTTGTGTGCGAGTGCACATGTGTGTGCGTGCACGCACATGCTCTCTCGCAAATAAATAAAATCTTAAAAAAAAGAGTTAAGATAATTAATGAAGGTGAGTACGTGAAACAGACTTTTAAATTTATTATTATTATTATTTTCTCACAACCCTGAGATCAAGACCTGAGCTGACATCAGGAGTCAGGCGCCTAACCAACCGAGCCACCCAGGCACCCCAAACAGACTTTTAATATAAATGGAAAAGTCTCCTCTAGGAAGAAGATGCCATTTAGAACTTAAATAGCTAGAGAGGAGAAGAAGTCAGTGCCCGGCTTCAGCGCTTCAAAGGACAGGCAGACTCTGTCGTTAGAGGCTAATGCTGCTGCTGATTTTAAGCCGAAGCTGGTGCTTGTTTGCTGTTCTAAAAATCCTAGGGCCCTTAAGAATTAAGCTAAACCTACTCGGTGCTGTGTAATTGGAACAACAAAGCTTAGATGATGGCATATCTGTTTACAACACTGTTTACCAAATATTTTGAGCCCCAATGTTGAGAGCTACGGCCCAGAAAGTGAAGATTGCTTCCCAAAAATGACTGCTCACTAACAGTGTACCTGATCACCCAGGAACTCTGACAGGGCTGTGCGAGGTGAATGTTGTTTTCGTGCCTGCTAACGTAACATCTGTTCTGTAGTGCACGGACCGAAAGGGTAATTTCAGTTTTCAAGTCTTATTATTTAAGAAACATGTTTCATGGGAGTATTGCTGCCAGAGACGGCAATTACTCTGATAGATCTGGGAAAAGCAAATTGAAAACCTTCTGGAAAGGCTTCACCATTTGAAATGCCATTAGGAGCATTCTGATGCACGAGAAGAGGTCAAAGTATCAACCTGAACAGGATTTTGGAAGTAGTTGACTCCAGCCCTCACGATGACTCTTGTGGGGGTTCCAGCCTTCAGGGGAGGAAGCAACCGCAGATGTGGTGGAAACAGCAAGAGAACCAGAATTAGAAGTGGAGCCTGACAACAGGACTGCCTTGCTGCGGTATTATGTTAAAATTTGAATGGGGGAGGAGTGCGTTACTTCTTATGGAGGAGCAAAGAAGGGGGTTTCTTGAAATGGAATCTACCAGCAAAGATGCCATGAAGATTGTTGAAATGACAACAGAGTTTTTATTCTTTTTTTTTTATTTTTTAAAAAAAATTATTTGACGGGGAGAGAGATCACAAGTAGGCAGAAAGGCAGGCAGAGAGAGAGAGAAGCAGGCTCCCTGCTGAGCAGAGAGCCGGATCCCAGGACACGGAGATCACGACCTGAGCAGAAGGCAGAGGCCCCACCCACTGACCCACCCAGATGCCCCGACTACAGAGCTTTTAGCATGTGACAGAAACTCAGTTGACAAAGCAGCAGTTTGAGAGGACTGATTGCAGTTTGGAAGGAAGTCCTGCTGTGGGCAAAACGCTGTCAAGCTGAATCCCATACTGCAGAAAAGTCGTTCATGCAGGAACGATTCAACTGATGTGGTAAACCATTCTCTCTCTCTCTCTTTTTTTTTTTTTTTAAAGAAATTGCCACAGCCACCCCAGCCTTCAGCAGCCCCCACCCTGATCAGTCAGCAGCTGTCCCCACGGAGGCGAGACCCTCCACCAGCAAAAAGATCTCAACTCACTGAAAGCTCGGGTTAGCATTTTTTGAGCAAGAAAGTATTTTTTCACCAAGATGTGATTTTTTAGACATAATGCCATTGCACGCTTAATAGACTACAGCACAGCATGAGTATAACTTTTATGTGCACTAGGAAACCAGAAAATTCACTTGCCGCGTTGTGATACTCCCTGTGTTGTGGTTGTTTGGAGCTGAATCCGCAGCATCTGTGAGGTGTCCCTATTGAGGCCTGGCCTCTTCCCCAGGGTTTTGGTGTTCAGTGTTGGTGAGGCTTGGTGGCGGTCCGTACCTCTCTGGAGGTAAAGGTTTAGCTCCTGTCGAGCCTGGAAATAAAACCAATAGTTATGTTACCAGCAAAATGGGTTTACTTAAGAGTGGCAGAGAAATTTTATTTATTTTTTTACTTTATTTATTTTTTTACTTTATTTTTTAAAAAAGATTTTATTTATTTATTTGACAGACAGAGATCACAAGTAGGCAGAGAGGCAGGCCGAGAGAGAGGGGGACGCAGGCTCCCAGCTCAGCAGAGAGCCCGATGCGGGGCTCGATCCCAGGACTCTGGGATCATGACCTGAACCGAAGGCAGAGGCTTTAGTCCACGGAGCCACCCAGGCGCCCCTGGCAGAGGAATTTTAAACAAGGGTGTGCAGGCTCTGGTAAAACCAAAGGCAAGTCTGAAGAACAGAGAGGACTGTCACTTTATAGAGAAAAAGTCAGCTGAGAGGGGCTACTTTGAAGGAAAGTCTCTTAGAAGAAAGGGATATTCCGGGGGTGGTGATGGCTTCTCGTTGACTGAGTTCTGGCA